AGTAAGTTTTCTTACTGCTTCTTTTTACCAGGATTTAAAGATTTAAACCTGGGAAGATTCAAGGTGCACTTTCCTATTTCATTTTGAAATCAGCTCTGTCTCATTGCTTCTGCCTCTGGAACTTTATAACACCAAAAAAAAAAAAAAAAAAAAAAAGGAAAATATCCCATGTAAATTTAAAATTCAATAAGAGTACAATTGTTCCTGTTTTAAATAGGCTTTCACTGATATTCAGGAGCAGCAGCATTACACGACAGAAACATCTTAGGTTCTGCTTTCTTTTTTTGGCAGGAAAGTCTAACGTGGAAATTAGCAATGTGGTCACTGCAGACAAACAGAATTTTCCTCCATTTCCCAAAATGCTGGAGAGAAGATTAAAAATATACATATCTTCTCATCATGGAGAACTTTTTTTCCTGATAGTAGAATAAACATTCCTAGTATAATACCATCAACATCTGATATTTGACATTTTTTATCACTGCACATTATACTCCTCTATCCCCAAATGCAAAAGCATAGAACTCTAAAGCAAAAGACAGTACTACTGTATTGCACACTTTGTGCATAGAGCAGTCAAACCTCAATACATTCACATCTGCTTGTAGAAGGACGTAACCATCCCAGCTGTAAATTCTTCAGATATTGGCATTGGCTGCTCAAATTCCTTTTCCCTCCTGATAATCGTTCCTAGTCTGAAAGGCAGAGTAACTCCTAGGAGTTGATTTGTACTTCTTGATTATCCTGCTCTTGCTACCAAGTTGATGAGGAATGAACTCTCTACATAGCAACATAAGATCCATTACTTGTTTAAACTGAGATTTTTACGTTTTTCAAAACATAATTCTAATAATGATTTACTTGACTTTTTTAATGATTTAGTTGCTTGCGTGTTTGTTTCTTAATAAATTTTAATTTGTATTCCTTTTAAAAATCATTTCAGGCATATGGTTCTGGTTGTGACATTGTTATTCTGGCAAATGACTTTGAATGTGTACAAATTATTCCTGGTGCTAAACATGGAAACATTCAGGTCAGTTGTGTGGAGTGCTCCCAGCGACAAGGCAGGGTAAGGATTGGGTTTTTTATTTTTCGTTTTTATATAGGCCTAAAGAAAAAGGATACTGAAACAATTCAACACAAAACATTAACGTGATTACTGAGTTAATTAAATGACAAAGATTTTTACTGATCTGTGGTTTTCAGCGCCATTCTGAGGATTGCTTTAGAACAGTCCATTTTTGAAAATTTTAGGTTGTGGTGCAGGGAGAAGGCAGGAGTTACATTTTAACAGTGGATTTTATGCCTTTGCAACATATGCAGTAACAAACCTCTCAAAATGTGGAAAGATACATTAGTTGCAGTATGGCAATGGTATAAAATTTCCTGCTTCTGTGATTCAGTAATTTTCTGCTTGCATATGGTAAAACATGGCAGGGATAAATAATTTATATAAACATAAATAAATTAAAGGTTCTTTGTTTTTTTCAGAAAAGCTCGGGCACGTTTATAGTGTTTCAAAGTGCTGCAATATGAGCTGTCATAACTGTGTATGTGGCTTTATTTTAAATCCCCACTTAATGCTGAACAGACAGTCTAGATTGCCATGAAAAAAAAAAAAACCAAAACCTTTCTATGAAGTATTGCAGAGCACTGAGCACAAATTTTGCTTATCAGTTCTGTTTGCCCACCACTGTTACCAAGTCAGGCAAATTTTAGCTGTAGAGGCCCCCGCACTTCAGCCATGGAGGCCCAGTGGGAAGAGAGATTCCATCTTGCACAGGTGGCTTCTGCAAGACCACTGTGAACCTCTGCAGGGTTCTGCATTCAGGACTCTGAACTCAAAGTCCATTCTTTTTTGGTTTGGTGTTTATTTTAATTTTCTCCCCACCGTGTGAAGAGGAAGTAAGATTTCATAATGTGGTGAAACTCTTATTTCACTTCCGTGTCAAAGAGAATGGGAGGAACTTTAAACAGTTGTTTTAAAAATCTTTTATACAAGAAAACAGTTAAATGATTGTCAAAAGTACTTACAAGCATTTGAGTATTGGGAATATTACTAGATAAATTCCTGATAAAGGCCATCTTGTACATGGAGGGTTTCCGTAAAACAAGTAGATGAAGGAAATTGAGTGGTACAAGAACTTCAGTTTTTCCATTACTATTTATCTTCCCTGACAATGTAATTTAACTATTCAAAATGGAATCCAATTTCTTCCCCTTTTCTAGTAATTATTATTTAGTGGTACAAAATGGAACATGGGGTCACACTGAGACCCAGACACTAATAATTAATTCATTAGTTACTTGTAAAGTAGGGAAAACGAGCAGAAGTAGTAAGATACCAGCTTTCCCTTACGCATTAACAATAGTTGCCTTAGAAGTAAGTATTAGATCTGATTGACAGTGTTCATCCCACTGAATGAAATATCTTCCATACTTACAGTTAAAATCTTAAAGATGGGCTAGTTCAAAGGTATGCATTTCTGATCTTCCTATAGAAAGTATTTGTATAATACTCTGAATAACATTTGTTTTCATTTTACTTGCTGAATATCTGTACATTGCAGTAGTACTGTGGAAATTCTTTAGATTCTTTCAAAGATTTTGGAGCAGTTAGGCTTCTCTCCTAACCTTATATCTTGAATCTTTGGGGTTTTTTTTCCAGATTGCAGCATCATATGGAAATGCTGTTTGCATTTTTGAACCACTTGGTGTAAATTCTCATAAAAGAAACAGTGTAAGTATATATTTTATGATTGTAATTCATTTTAGGTTCTGAAGGAAAAGTATGTCTGTCGGTTATTAAATTGGCACCCAAAAGACTACTGGATACACATTTCACAGCGTCCATAGTAATGGATAATAATAATAAAAGATAAAATAATAATGGATGAGAAGGATCTTCCACTGTACAAACAGAGCTGGGGATTGCAATGTTCTCAAGTTCACAGCAAGATCTGATGCAAGAGTGACATAGCAGTCAGCTCATATTTCTTTAAATTGACATGCCAGGTCTGTAATACAGAAATAGGACTTGGACTTGTGTATCCACACTAGTTTAAACAGCACAGTCATGGCCAAATGTCATGTTGATTGTGTTCACAAGTGGGTTTTGTGATCTGTTGCATTTGTGCTGCCATTCCTTATGTTGTTACAAATGTGTGATGCAACCAGCTTACAGCTGGTTCCCTGCTAGGCAGGGGGGTTGGAACTACATGATCCTTGAGGTCCCTTCCAACCCGGGTGATTCTGTGATTCTGTGATATAGCAATCTACAGATTCATTTGTATCTGATGTGACTCTGATGTGTTTAATTTTTATTAAACAATTGAAATTATTCAAGCTAGACTACAGAGTCTGCCACTGGGTCCTGACTTCGTTTGTAACAACTCAGTGAGAAATAAACACAAACGCCATTGCCGCTGATGTTAAAATTAATTTTTACTCTTCTTTAAACTGCAGCAGCTGAAGTGTCAGTGGCTTAAAACGGGGCAGTTTTTTCTCAGTTCTATGACTTACAACTTAGCCTGGGATCCTCAAGGTAATGTGAAATTTGTGATGCATTTGTTTGATGTTTATAGTTAGAAAACTTGAACATAAATTATTTTTATTGAAATGAAGTGGGAGCATGAATACAGACATTTTAGATGATCCATTCTTGGCAGCGTAGCATCGGATAAAATGCATTTGTGAAGATGCTATGCCAAGTATTTTGAGTGTTTTATGTAAGATTTTAGTTTGGGAATCACGGTGTTAAGTTGATAACTGCCTTAAATTACTACTAATAATCATTTAAATATATTGCTGACTTATAATAAAACTCTACCAAGAGAGAGATATTGATAAGATATCTAACAGTGTGCATTATCTGAGACATTAATGGCTGTTCAGCATCTTCAGAGGTCATTATTAAAAACTATCTGTCATTCAAAGTGATCTTAAAAACATCAAAACCCTAAAAGTTTTTCTTGAAAGGCATTATAAATTCAAAATGTTTTGATAAAAACAGATGTATGGTATGATTGAATACTCTTTCATATTTAAAATGGACTTTATAAAGTTGAATGTTCAACCTGTTTTTAATTATTTTCATCAAAATATGATGACAGACATTAAACATCATTATGCACGTATCAGTTTGGTTTCATATCTTCAACATTACTCACATTCAGGTAACAGGCTGCTGACAGCAACTGACTATTTGCAACTGTGGGCTCCACCATCTAGTGACATTCTAGAGGAAGATGAAGATGATCCTGATAATCAGATGAAAGATGATAAAGTTCTCCCAGTTCTGAATGACTGGAAATGTGTCTGGCAGTGCAAGTGAGTGAGACAGTTCTCATTTTAAGACAGATTGCGATGCCAACTCATATATCAACCCTATCTTCTCTCCAAAAGTGTATTTTAAAATATCTTTTAAATAAGCTTAAACTATCATAAAATTCAAACAATGAAAGTTACTCCAAAAAAAAAAAACCTCATTTTTTCAGGTGACCTTCAGTCACCCAGTAACATATCAAAGGCTTAACTATAGCCCTGGCAATATGTATAAATTTTCCCTGTCTTCTCATCCTTTGAAAGTAGTGCTGAGATACTGGATGTGACAGAGGAGCAGCAGCAAGCAGACATACAATGCTGATCAAGATGAGAGCTGTTTGATGCCTTCCTATCATTTGTCTTGGCCTCTGGGAGTAGAAAAGCAAGTGGAACAAACTTCACTTCCATGATCTCATTAGATCTAGCCTAGGCTTACCATATTTAAAACTACTGATTTTTTAATGTGCTGTTTTTCTCTAAAGAAAACTATATGAAAATACTAAATACTATGTTTTTCTTGTAGCAAACACTTCTTACACTTCTGCCTTATCTAAAGTATGCTTAAAACAACAACTATAAAATACAAATATAGTTTAATTAAATAATGACATTAACATTGAATTAACTAAATATACTTGGAGTAATACTGTACAATAAATAGACTTTACTTCCATTTTAAAACTTTACTCTTGTGTTCTTTAGGACTGCAGTATCAGTACATTTGATGGCCTGGTCTCCTGATGGTGAATACTTTGCAACAGCTGGGAAGGTAAGGATAACAAAAACAACAAACAGGATAAGCTCTTCAGTTGTGTTCCTTTTTTCGACAGAAGAAAATAAGTAATATAGAATGGTCCTACAGCCATGTATTCTACTGTAGTCTGAGCTAAGTAATCATCTTCTGTATAATGCTCTATTTTCACGTAATTCCATGAATTTCAACAAGAAATTTGATTTAGCTGTTTACTGTTACTGAATACTTCAGAATTGTCCTGAAAATACAGTGACAGTAATACAGACTCAGTTATATTTTAGATAAAGTATACTTAGATGAACTTTCAGATATGCGTAAACAATTTTTTCATCCTCTATTTGAAATAATTAAGATAAATTTTAGATCGTGAAAAACATATGCATTTAAGCAAGTGTAACGTGCATATCAGTGTACAAACAGAAAGATTTTCTGTTTGCAGTGAAGTCTGGGTTTGCTATCAGTTCTTAACTTCTAATTCCATTTGTCATATTTTTTGTCAAATTGCTATTCAAACTAAGTTTTCAACTAATAATTCTCTTTAATGTTGCCCTCTCATTTGAGTTCTGAGAGTCTGCATAGTTGGGCATTTATTGCTTGTGCTAACGTTGGTCAAATGATATAGGAATTTTAGAAACCTTTATCTTCTTAGACTTATTAAAGAGGACAAGGAATCGCAAGCTGTCATTACTTTATGACTAAAAATCTAATAATGACACCTCAAAAATACTACATTTAAAGTCACTGTAGTTAGAAAAATACCAAAACTTTTGCTTTGTTCCATGCTTCTGTTTTCCATGAATTTAGTTTCATACAGTTAAGAATTTGGCTAAGCGTGTGAGGCAGATGGTTCCAGTAGTTATTTCCTGTTTGTAGGACAGATCCATCTTAGTTCCTTCACAGTTTCATCATAATTTTTAACAGTGCTGTCTCTCAACCTTTCTTCTTGCAGAGTCTGGTCAGATACTGCCTTTTACATGTTTGACAGGAAATAAATAAGAGCTCCCAGAGATTTGTAATTTATTTGTTTATTGTGCATCTACACTCCTTTTCCAGCGCTGAAATCCAAGGATGTATTGCACAAATATATACAGTGTATTGTGGTCATCCTAGTAATGTTGCCTTAGTTCACATCAGTGCAGTCACACTCCAGTCCCACTTAACAGCATTTGGAGTATTGCTGTGTCAGCAATTCACTTCTGTTTCACTTAACCAGATCAGTAGTACCCAGCCATTCAAATAGGAAAGGTAGCACATGTTCTGCTGGTGGAGGGAAGGGTTGTACTATGCAGCCACTCGTCATTCATGGGCCTATTGGCAGCAGATACAGTGCTTCCCACAAAAATCAGGCTTCCTGTGCATGGGAACCCCCAGGGACTTCAAGCACAAATTTTCCTAAGGGAGAAATTGACTGGTAATAAGTTTAATATTGAGCTAGGAGTGGCAGCCTGTTTCTGGCTTTCATTTTTGCAGAGGAATGGATGTGGGATTGAAGCACACATATATAATATGCAGAAAATGCAAAGAGAACCAAGAGGAATGTAGGGGGACAAACGGACTGCAAGAAAAATTACTTCTGGGAGTGGTGTGTTCCTAGCAGAATATTTATTCAGTCCTGCAACTCATTTCAGGATTACTATCAGTGAAATTTCTGGTCCCAGGAATGGGCTGACTGCAAAACTGCAAATAGTTCCGGGGCATAGATTGAGTATTCGTGAAAGGTACTGAACAGCAGTCTTGTATACCATTTTAGTATTTTCTTTTTCTGACTTTTTTCACTTGTAGCTAGCTAATCCCATGTTATTTTGCTGCTTTACCTAGGATGATTGCCTCTTAAAGGTTTGGTATCCTATAACTGGTTGGAAGTCATCTCTTCTGCCCCAAGAGAATGAAGAGAAGAAGAAATGCTCAGGGGTTGTCAACTTCTCATTTGCCTATTTAGCTCATCCTCGAGCAGTGACAGGATTTTCATGGCGTAATATTAGCAAGTACATGCCCAGGTTTGAAAGATTTAATTTTTAAGACAAGCAACAAACCAGCAAGCATATATTTGACCAAACTGTTACGGTTTTTTGTATTGTTTTGTTTTTTAACACACTGCTTAAAGTTTGGCCATGAGAACATGGTTCAATTTCACTGCTTATGCTTTGAAGAAATTGAACATATCCAGCATATACGAAGACATCCGTTCCTTATTACAACAATTATAGTCATGTTAATAGGAGGAATTCATTCTAAAATATGGTCTGAGCTTCTCAAGTTCTGCCAGACATTGTGACACTGGAAATAAAACTTTTTCTTTAAACAGTTAGCACTGCGTAAGATTTTTTCTGAACCTTGTTGTATATGCTGCTGTTTAATTCATTGTTTGATTCACTTTTCAGGATTTAGTAAAAATGTATGTATTCTTCACATTATCCAGCAAAAAAATAACTTCGACAGTTCCATAACTGCAGTTTTATAAAAACTGTTGCATTTATCAAATAATAACCACCCCATGTTCACATGCACTTTTGCTAATAATTTATGAGTTTATCTGTCAGCATGTTGAAAATCCCTACTGTTATAAAACCTTTAGTTTTATAACATACAAACCTTTGTAATATATAAACCTTTAGTTTAGAGGGAGAGGTAGGAATTTGGAGGAAGTAGCAATGACTGCTAAGTATTTGTGTTTCTTCTGATTTTTGTTGTGTCTTTAATCACAATTTATCTATGTTGAGTAATATTTTTGATATGCTTCTCTTTAGGGGTTTAGTCTGCAATGTGTTACTCACATCATGTCTTGATGGCATCTGTCGACTGTGGGCAGAGACACTGTTACCAGAAGATACTCTTCTGGGTGAGCAGATATGTGAAACTAGCACTTCCAGCATTAGCAGCACCATTTCTCAATCTGGAAAGCACAAAGACAGAATACAGCATGCACTAGAGGTACAATACTTGTCAATTTTGTATTTCAGAATTGTTAAAACTTGTAAACATTTATTAGAAAATTTAAACTATGCAGAACTCTAAAACTGTGTATTATTTAATTCTTGCAAGTGTAGCAGAATAGTCTGCATTATTTATAGATGTATGTTATTAATCACTGAAGAAATAAGGTTCTTTCTGCACCTGAACTACATGTTCTTAAATTCCAGTCTACTTTTTCCATAGCTAACTGCAAGTGTTGAGGAGAGAGCATGACTAATATGGAATAGTAAGATGGTTTCATTTTGACTGCGTCTGAAAGTCTGTAGATAAAAAAAAAACATAGAAGCAGTAAATACACTTTACTTTAGGCATCTGAGTAGATAATTGCATTTCCAGAATTATAAAAATGTGAGGCTCTAAGTTTCAGTAGCAGTCACATGCAGTATATTATGTTTACAGGAAAAGAAAACCTGTCATTGTGAAAACAAAACCAAACAAAAACACCACTCATTTGTAGAATATAACAATCAGGTGAAGTTCTTACTTCTTACATATCATGACTGACAATACCCAGAGAGGGTGGAACCAACTATGTTTCAGGCTATTGAATAAGCTGCAGTCTCCATGTACTCTCACTAATTTTTAGTTGCATAAACGTAATTCATTATAAAATTGCTTTATAACTGTTTCTGCTTTTAGACTGTAATAATCTTTTTCATTATTGTTACACAAAATAGTTGGATTTTTTTTTGTCTTTGAAGCAGATAATGTAAGGACCTTTCTGGAGACTGCTAAAAGAACTCCGTCTTCAGTCAGAACTGATACACATGAGCTTGATTAATCTCCTTTGAAATGAACTTCAAGTAATCTTTTTGAAATTAGTCTTCACTTCTTAGGGAGAAGGAAATTTTAAAGCTTTACGTTTTACATAAATATTTATATCTTAATTTTTTTATTGTTTCTTAAATTGTTTTTTCTAACTGTACCAGACAATTCACCACTTGAAAAATATGAGAAAAGGACAAAGGAGGTCTTCCGTTCTTGTTACCCACACAGATGTGTTGCCAGATCAGCAGGGTACTCATGAAGTTCAGCGTCACATTTCACATCACGCAAATGCACTCGGTCACTTCCACATAGCAGCAAGCATCAACCCTAACACAGGTAAAATGCAACCATTTATCAAATTGTTAATAACAGATTTGAACAAAATGGAAAAAATAAACAGAGGGATCTGAGGTCCGTGTTCTTTGTTATATGTCTTTGAATGCAAGGTATTCATTCATAGGGAGAATATTATTTCATAACTTTTTTTTTTGCATAGAATTATGTAAACAAATTGGTCTGAATATTTTAATTACTTATTAATTTTTTCCTAAAAAAATCAGATGGACAGAATGGTTGTGGTTGAAAGAGACCTCTGGAGATAATCTTGTCCAATGCCTCTGCTTAAGCAGGGTCATCTACAGCCAGTTGCCCAAAACTTTCAGCATTCTTAAAATCCAAATTAAATTTATTTTTGCATATCAGAAGTAAAAGAAATTTCACAATCTAAATTTCAAGCCTGCTTCATGCTTGGTTGTTGGATTTAGGGAGGCAACAGTATATGAATGAAGTATTTTAACTACAGAATATACAGAATGAAGAAAAGTTGTACAATATTTTTTTTTATGGATAAAACCACTTTGTTTTTTGTAGAAGAAAAAGATTAAAGATACTACTTTACCTAAAGTCCGTAGGTGAAGTGACAACACTGCAACTTATGAAACAATTGAGCAATTAGAGCTAGTAAATACCATTTACTATTCTCATCACAATTTGTTAGTTCATTAATGTTAAACTGTATTTTTATTGTTTTTAATTCATATGTAGGAACTTGACCTGAATCTTACTTTTCCTAAACTTAGAGGCAAAATTATGTTCTACCAAGAATGAATTAAATGTTCAATCAAGAAATCTGTTTATAATATAAGTATATATACATTTATATAGATTTAAGATACAGCTTTTTGATTTATTTACAACAATCCACAGATATTCCATCTGTTTTGGCTGGAACAGCTTTTAATACAGATGAAGGCAATGGAGGTTTCGTCGTTCACTGGTTGAATAATAAGGAATTTAATTTTACATCATCTATTGAAGTATTTATGCAGCATCTAAGAAAACTTTCTGAGCAACAACTAGAAGAAGATTTTGATAATGTTGAGGTTGAAGAGCAAGAAGAAATAGAAGAAAAAGAGAGAGGTTTGCGCATGAAATTAGATCACGGTTAGTAGCCTTGAGATCTATAGCACAAGAATAATTTTGAAACACATTTATTTAGTGCAGTAATTGATGCAAATATTTAGCACGAGAATCAGAGGTTATATTTTGTTATTAACCTAAAATAAATAGATAGAGCTAGAATTTTGCCTCCGCAAATAATCAGGTGGCATGAAAAACTTAATGATATATCCCCTATTGGAAGACAATAATGATTTATTCAGTGAAAAAAAAAGGTTGCTTTGTTTTTCCTATCTGTTTTGGAAATGCTTTATAGTTAGGAAATAAAGACTAAGACTTGCTCTTGATTTACCATACAATCTGATTGTCAGTAATGAACAATGATTTGATGGCAAGCTTTAAGGAGGGTTGGACATTGTTCCACTTGAATGAAACTGCACTCTATCTAGTGTAAGCTTTGCATCTTACACCTTACAGCATCCAGTGATCCCAATTGTAGCTGTTCACATAGGAACAGAGGGACATATTGTGAAATTAATTTTTGAAAACATGTCCTGCTGGAAAGACTTCACATTGCTGAGAGAATGTCACTTTTCCAGGGAATGTATTCCTTCAATTTTATTAAAGATTACAAACCCCATTTAATTTAAAATTCCAAAAATTTATTTTCCCTTGTTTCCTCACAGTTAATAATAATGAATTATCTAACTAATAATGTACTATTAAAAACTTTTCTGCCTAAACAAGCAAGAGTTAATACTGAGGGTATTAACTAACGAGTATACAGAGGGTATAAACTAATAATGAAATATTGTCATTTATAATTCTTGGGTTCTTAAAATCTAGGTTAGTGCAATTTATTTTGTCATAATTCTGACTGCACATGCTACTTCATCAATGATCATATACCACATAGTTCATGATAACATTTTAAACAGAAATAAAAATACTAAACCAGCATTAATACTAAATATCTGTTTTTATGTAATTGAACAGAATAATCGTAGTCAGGATAAGATTCTAAGTATCTCAATTTTGATGACTGTGTTCATTATTACTAATTAGGAGCAATAAATGGAGAGTTCTACAGACAGATATTTCTACCCTCAGTTTGCATGAATATCCTTATGAGGTAGTGCTGTCAACAGATTTTAAAATGTTTTCTTGTTTGGAATAGAAACAATGGTAGGAAAATATTTGAAATGGATAAAACACATTTCTGTTGCAGACTTGTCTATAGATAGAGAATCAGAGACAGGGACTGGCACAGGCTCTTCAGAACATGAAGATGGAGAACGAGAGGGAAGCCCCAAAACATCTCTAGGAGGAAGCCTGCGGATGCCTCTTCCAACAGTTTTGTTAGATCGGAAAATTGAGTTGCTGCTGACTGAATGGAACAGAAATCCAGATATGCTTTTTACCATTCATCCTGTCGATGGTACCTTTCTGCTATGGCACGTGAAGTATTTAGATGAATACACGCCAGGCATCTTTCGCCAAGTTCAGGTGTTGTATATTTGAAATTGGTTTATTACTTATGATCCTAATGAAGTCATTGTGTTCCTGCTATTTAAATCTGGTTATCAGAATGAACTTACTTATAAGCATTTCCTGTAACATCTAACATGTATTTGGACTTGCACTGTGTTGTTATATTCTAATTTTTTTTTTTTTTTTTTTTTTTCCAGGTTTCATTTTCTTCTAGGATTCCTGTTGCATTTCCATCAGGAGATGCTAGTTCCCTTAGCAAAAATATTATGATGTATGCTTGCCCTGTCTTATTAAAAGATACCAGTAATGCTGTACATCAGAAGACAATGGACTTTTCAGATAAAACTCTAGAGAATAGAGGACCAGGCTTTACCCAGAGCAGTACAAACGTGAATATAATTTCTCCCATAGTAATGATGATTTCCAAGCATATAGATGGCTCTCTAAATCAGTGGGCAGTTACTTTTGCTGATAAATCAGCTTTCACTACTGTGCTAACTGTATCACATAAATTTAGGTACTGTGGGCACCGTTTTCATCTTAATGATCTAGCTTGCCATTCTGTTTTACCATTACTGTTAACATCTTCTCATCATAATGCTCTATTAACTCCGGAATCAGACAGTTGTCACGGCTCTGACAGAATAAGCAGAGTAATGGATCCTAGTAAACATCTGAAAGGTTCTTCTCGGCAACAGCTTAAAAATGCAGCAACTCGTACATTTCATGACCCAAATGCAATCTACAGCGAGCTGATTCTGTGGCGCGTAGACCCAATAGGACCTTTGTCATACACTGGAGGAGTGTCTGAGTTGGCCCGAATTAACTCTCTTCATACTTCTGCTTTCTCCAATGTAGCCTGGCTTCCCACACTTATTCCCAGCTATTGCCTTGGTAAGTACTCTTAGCATGATGCCATGTAAAATTAACACCAGTAGCCTTAGAATTTATTTTAAAAAATAAGTTACTGTTATATTTGGAATTTTGTACTTCTCAGCAGTTTCCTTGTATTGTGCCATGGGCATTCTTACTCCATTTGAGGCTAAGCTACTTCAAAATAGCATAGTTTGTGTGGGCTAAGAGTTTGTAGTTACTATGGATCAGCTGATAGGCAGCAATTTCTTTGTTAGACTTAATAATCACTCTCATAACAGGACAAGGTGATCCCATTGCTCAGTATGCTAGGCAACCTTAAATCAACTACACTTACTTTACAAAACTGCAAACGCTATTTTTTCAGTGGTCAGGATGTACAACATCAGATGCAATGCCCTGGGGGAAGTTTTTGTATAAAATTTTGATGCTCTCTGTTACATTTAAGAAAATTGTTGCTAGAAATGTTAATCTGTCACTTAGATACTTATTTTTAATTATAAAGATGCTGTTGTAATAGTGGTTGTCTTTGTGAACAGTACTAAAAAATGTAAATTGTGAATGTAACATTATTCAAGTTTAAACTAATAACGCTAGGATACTTTATTACAGTAAGGCTAGACTGACTTTGGCAATTCTTAAATGGGTATCAAAGGCACTGAACAACCTCAAAAATACTAAGTATGCTTAATAAATGCATAACTTTTCTTTGATTTAAAAAAAAAAAAAACCTTTAATCACATAGTACAGTTTTTTGCTGTCTCAGTCTGCAAAGCTGCTATTCTGAACAGTTTACCTTAGACTACTTTAAATCATCTCCAATAACCTAGGGAAGGTAGAGTTCCAAGCACCTCCTCAGAGGTTCTCTTTGACAGCGAAGAAAACATAATAATTTTAAGGAATGGCAGTATTCTGTTAGGCAAACTATGAATTATATTCACATACAAAAGTGAATCTCACTTAAATATTTCAACTTTTATGAGAAATCTTGGTTAAATAAATGAGCAGAAACTTACCCTGAAGACTTAACATTGGTGTTTTAATCCACATAATTTCTTGGGTTTGTTTCACTTCAATATTTTATAACAGTTATTGTTAAAAACATTCAGATATTGTGAAGTGGAATATAAATGACTACCTGAGACTATTTGATGCCCTTTTTTTTCTTTAACTCTACAATTTCTTTTTTTCTACTAGGTACGTACTGCAACTCTGCTAGCGCTTGTTTTGTTGCATCTGATGGCAAAAACCTGAGGCTCTACCAAGCTGTTGTAGATGCAAGAAAGCTTCTGGATGAGCTATCTGACCCAGAATCATCTGTAAGTTTTATGTAGTTATGGCTTGAAATGTTAAAAATAGAAGTAGTTAAGGTAACATTTTTTTCCCCTCCAGTGGTTTGTCTTCATTTATTTGTGCGCATCAAGTTTTGTGTTGTTGCACATATAAGGCTTTAATTTTTAGTTTGTGTAATTACATATGTTTTTTAAATGTCTATAAACATTAGCAGACAGCAATTCTATGCATTACTACTAAAAATGGTTAACAGGGAAATTTTAGCAAGAGAGGGAAAGAAAAATGGGATTTCTTTCTTTGTCTTCTCAGAAGAGGGGAGTCAGGAGCAGCTAAGCAGGTAAAGAGGGAAGAGCAAGACTTACATGCACACACTTAATGTTGATATAGGAGGGAATCAGGGCAAGTTATTGTTAATAATTAATAACTCATATTTTTTGCTCTTTTATCTTTCTTTCCTATGACTTCAAGCAAAGTAAAAACTGCCCTTCTAATTGTTACTGAATAAACAAGCACATTTTTCCTGTTTCCATTTTTCTGTTATTTTATAAGCTATCCTGTAAAAATATTAGCTGTCAGTATTCTGATCAGTCTGACCAACCTGTTGGAGGAGTAATGAATGTGAATGTTCCAGCAGTGACCTAGAGTACATTCAGTTTATATATAGCCTGAATTGATTGAATTTTTTCTTTTAAATTTCTTATAAATTTTCAGTGTTGTGACAAAACCTGAAGCTTTAAACAAAAGTGAAATGGTATATTTGAGTTCTCTGTGGTACAGATACTGAGTTATGTTATTATGAAAGGATAAATCTTAAAATAAACAACATTTTCTTTCCATATAAATTGGTATGTTATCCCCGTGAACAGTTTCAGACTCAGAGTGCACATGTTCTAATAAGCACATTATTCATAACTGCCAAAATGAAAACAGGAAGAAGCCTAAGAAGCCTATTAACTATTCACTGCAACAACAACAAAAAAAACGACCATTTTATTGTAAATGGTTGCAATTTCCTTTGTTTGAAGGGAAAATCTACTAACTCATCTCATTTTGCTTTGTTTCAGAAACTGATCGGGGAAGTGTTTAACATTGTGAGCCAACAATCTACTGCTCGCCCTGGATGCATTATTGAACTTGATGCAATAACTAACAAAGTAAATAATTAATTAATTCCGTAGGATATCACATAAAGGTGTTTGATAGCTTTGTACACTAATTAACCTAACATATTGAAAAGACACAAAAGAAATGACATTTCTCTATGGTGATAATGGTAGTGATGAATTTCCATGAATGTTAAGATACCTTTCAGGACCTTTCAGAACACTTTCAGGAGACAACTTTTAGCTGCTTGGATCTCAAAGTCCATTGCCATGGAGTGTAACAATATTTTCTAGGCACGAATCTTGTTTAAAATAAACTTGACCAAAGACTGGTTTATCCCCATCATGATTTAAAGGAAAAAAATAACAGTCACTGTCAGAAACTCAGCATAACATAGGGACAAATAACAACATCGAAAGATAAAAAATAGAGCTTAAGTCTTTTAAAATGTAGGAATCATATATGACATAGTTGGTACTCACAGAAGTTACTGTGCTGGTTTCTTTAGGTAGCAGCTTTTTTAGGTAGTGACTTTTTTTTATTTTTTTATCATGTTTTACTTAGAGATATAGGTATATTTGACAAATCTAAATAAGCATTTATCTGTTCTTCAATATTTCTTTCTCTATTCTTCTATGTCTTTTAACTATTAATCATATGGAACCTTTAATTCAGGTTTACAAAATATTTTTTCTAATATTTTTGTCATTTTTTTATGAAATGATATGTGGAATACAGGAAAGGACTGTGAACCATCTTTATGGTATAAGAAACAGTTTTTCTCAAGACTTCTGTTGAAAGACAGTATCAAGACATCCTGGTTACCTTTAATGTTTTCTATTTCTCTTAGCTGCTTAGCTTCTAACCTCCCTTGTCACCTGAGCAGTATAAAGCTTAACTAGCATTCTTGGATCTTATCAATACCTACAGAAATAGTAAATAGGATAATTAAGTTTTCATTTGTCACTTTCCTAGTTTTTAAAAAATGAACGTAGACATCAGTACATCTATTCAAGAGAAAGGTGAGGCTGGAACTAGGAAGAACTTTAGAATTTAAAAGGCAGCAACAAGCTCTGGAGAGAGAGGTCCTCTTCTATGAAAAGACATTGAATCCAGGTTTCTTAGAGAGCATCCTGATCACAATGGTGACTGTAGACATTCCCATAACACAAATGCTGTGTAACCTCTCACTACCTCCTTTGTTCCTAGCCACCGTTGTAATGGCATCTGATGAAGCTCTAAGAAAAACACCTTTTATATTGAGTGACTTAGCTCTTGCTAATTTCATCTAGTAGGATTTTAAGAATACCTGTATGGAGGAAGATGCCATTCCATAGTTCTCTGGAAAAAGAAGATATTCAGGAATGTGAAAATTTTGCCATTGATGTCTGGAAGACACATTTTCTTTGTCTGCAGGAAATGTTTTCAGTCCCAGCAGCCTCCCTTGTAGAGGGGTAGAGGTACTGCAAAGAAACATCTTACTGTCAGGAACAACAGCTATTGAGATATGAGAGGAGGAGTATCTGAGGTTCCTTCCCTTTTTTAGCAGATTTCTTAATTCATTGCAGTCATCTTCCCACTGAAGAGGAGTAGTAGAAGTCTCAAGATATTTTACTATGGTCATTTATTCATCATCTAAAGAAATAAAAATCATCTTTAAATAGTTGCAGCAAAAATATTATTACAGAATTAGTCTAGCATGGTAGATCTCAGTAAAATTTTTTGAATATACAAACAATAGGTTCTAGAACATGCTAGTTTCAATGTACAGATGAAAATGTTTTTCTAATAGAAAATGATTTTCATCATTATAAAGCGATCCCTCCTTATCAATACTCAGATTACACAAAATAAGTATTTTAGTACAAAATGTTGTTAAACATTAATTCTGAAAGCATTACTACTGCTCAATATTTCAGTGTGGCTCAAATACTCAATTGCTTCATGTCTTTCAAGAAGACTTCATTTTGGGATACAAACCACAAAAGGAAGATGTGGAAGAGAAGGAAACAGAGATATTTTTCCAGCCCTCACAAGGTATAGCATAAAAATAAGTACTACGAAGTAGGTACCAAAAATGCTCTTGAACAGTATTAAAATTTAGCAGGCATATCCTAGATTCAATTTAAGGAGAATCTGTTGAATTCAGTGAAATGTGTGAACTGATGCTGCTTATATAAATCATTGCCTACATGGTAACAGTATTAAGTAAATTTATTCTATTTGCTTAGAGTAAAATGTTTTAACTTGTATGACAAGGTCCATTTTTCAAAATGCTGTATCTTTTAAAATCCATACAAAGTAGAACAGAAGTCTATTTCCTGAATTAACATGTAGTTACAAGTGATAAGATGAACATACCTATTTCATAGTTAATCCTATAGAAAGTAACTGGGAATTTAGTAGTAGATTTAAAAGAAAAAAAGGTAGAATGCAGGCTTGTAGGGAAAAGAACTTTTACAATATAGCAGAGTAGTTCAAACTGACTGAGAAGGTAAATGCATTTAATTAATCAAAATTATTCAGGCTGGCTGCAAGTTAGTCTCCCCATTTTACTAATTCTTCTATAAATCTGAGCAAACAAAATATTGATTTAAATGTTGTTACTAGTATTGAGCATTTTATAATCAATTTCAAGGAGGAATTTTTTTTTTTGTATCAGTGTTCTTTTATCCATTGTAAACTTCATGACAGTTCATCAACGTTTTTAAATTACAGGATATCGTCCACCGCCTTTTTCAGAGAAGTTCTACTTGGTAGTAATTGAAAAAGACAGCACTGGCTGTTCTGTTCTTCAGATGTGGCATCTTCATCTCAAATCTGTGCAAGCTTGTTTAGGCAAGTATTTTCTTATAGGTGAATGTTTTGAATATCATGACGTGTCATGAATTTGAAGCTTGTCATTTTAGAAGCAGTAGGAGTAAGATTCCATGCAAACACTGGTTGTGTTCTGTACTACTGACAATATAAAAATATGTTGAAATAATAAGTAACGTATCATTGAATTCTTTATTTTAAATTGTCAGTATTTCAGAATGTTACGGATGTCTTATAATGAGCATAAAATTATTTGCAATAAAACTAAAGCAGCCAACATATAGAATTATTTTCTGCATAACTGAAGCACAACTAAGAAAGACGTGTGATTGTAACATATTCATGCTTTGTTCTAACATATAAACAGGTTTTTTTTTAACTGTTTTCAATGACTTTTTTTTTTCCAATATAGCAAAACCAACTGAAACTGCTTTATCAGAGAACAAGCTTAGCATACCTGAGCAGAAGACTGTAGATTCTTCTCCAGATTTATCACCTGGCGTGAGTCCCATTCCACGATCTTCATCAATTGCTAATCTTCAGACTGCTAGTAAACTCATTCTGAGCTCCAGACTTGTGTACAGCCAACCACTGGATCTTCCTGTTGGTGTAGAAGTAATAAGAGCAACTCCTTCAGCAGGTAAATTTAACATTTTTTTTCTATCTAATTGATCTACTGTCTACCACCTGGTTTATAGGACAGTAACCCTAACCCTATCACTCTCTTAATTGAATGATAAAGGAAATGTAGAACTAAAAAGACTCTCTCACCTCTATGTCCATATCTCTCAAATCCAAAATGTCTTGTTTCTCATCATCTCTTTTTTAAATGTATCAAGTCCCCCAAATCAAAGCTACTTGTATAACTTATTGTTCCAGTGCTTGGAGATTTAACTCCTAGACTTAGTTTATTAATGAACAATTCATATCCACTTTGTCCCCTGTCAGCATTGATCTGATGAGTATTTTGGGGGTTTTTTTTAGTAAACTTTGTGTACTTACCTCCTTTATTTGTCTCTCTCTTCTTCTTTTCAAGATACTTTTAAGTACTATCGTGCTCCCCGTAGGTTTCATTTCTGAATGCTACACAAGCCTAATCTTAATGTCCTTCAACTCATCTTATTAAAGCTTTGTATTCCCCTCATTATTCTAGCAATCATTTTCTTAATTAGTTGAGTTAAATTTTACCATCTTTGAGTAGTGCTGCAACTGGCAGATGACAAGTAATGCCCAGGCTCCTAACTCTGTCACTGATCTTAAAACATTTGTTTTTATCTAACTCCAAATTAGAAAAATACAACCAGATCAAAAAGTGCTTTGTTAGTAGTGACAGCATTGTGGCTATCTTTTATAGTCGTTTGACTTTTGTTACTATTAGCAATTATGTCTGTTCTAATTTCAGGTCACTTGAGCTCTTCTTCAATATACCCAGTCTGCCTTGCACCTTATTTGATAGTAACATCATGTTCAGACAACAGAGTGCGTTTCTGGAGGTGTACTGTAGAGATAGATCTAAACAGCAAAAATGAAGAAAGGGAAACATATCATTGGAGAAAATGGCCTTTAATGAATGATGAAGGAGAAGATAACAGCAGTACTGTCACCATAGTAGGAAGGCCAGTTGCTGTTAGTTGTTCTTACACAGGACGTCTTGCAGTAGCTTACAAACAGCCTGTACAGCATAATGGTTATGTTTCAAAAGAATTTTCCATGCATGTTTGTATACTTGAGTGCGAGTCTACAGGAGGATCGGAATGGGTTTTGGAACAGACAATTCATCTAGATGACTTAGTTAAAGTTGGAAGTGTGCTTGATTCAAGGGTCAGTGTAGATAGCAATTTGTTTGTTTACAGTAAATCAGACACATGTCTGAATAAAGACAAATACCTAGTGCCCAATATCAAGCATTTGGTGCATTTGGATTGGGTATCGAAAGAAGATGGTTCACATATACTGACAGTTGGAGTTGGTGCCAATATTTTCATGTATGGGAGACTTTCAGGAATTGTAACAGATCAAGCAAGCAGCAAAGAAGGTGTAGCTGTTATTACTTTACCGCTAGGTGGTAGCATAAAACAAGGTATAAAGTCAAAGTGGGTTTTGCTTAGATCAATTGATTTGGTATCATCTGTAGATGGCACTCCTTCACTGCCTGTTTCTCTCTCCTGGGTGAGAGATGGTATACTGGTGGTGGGCATGGACTGTGAAATGCACGTTTACGCACAGTGGAAACACACTGTCAAGTTTGGTGATGGTGAAAGTGATGTTTTTACTTCTGAAGATTTGGCAACTCAAGATCCACTCAAAACAAGCTTGATATCAAAGAAGACTAGTATAATTGATGGGGCAGGTATTGTGGATGATGTTTTCGGCACTCCAACTGTAATTCAAGACGGAGGCCTTTTTGAAGCTGCTCATGTACTTTCACCTACTCTCCCTCAGTATCATCCAACTCAGCTATTGGAACTTATGGATCTGGGTAAAGTTCGCCGAGCCAAAGCCATTCTATCACATTTAGTTAAATGTATTGCAGGAGAAGTTGCAATAGTAAAAGACACAGAAGCTGGAGAAGGCAGTGGTCCTAAACGCCATCTTTCTCGCACCATTAGTGTAAGTGGCAGTACTGCAAAGGATACCATCACAGCTGGAAAAGATGGCACTCGAGACTACACAGAGATAGACTCTATTCCTCCACTGCCACTTTACGCGCTTCTTGCTGCAGATCAAGATGCAACTTATGTTTCTGAAGAAACTTCTAAAATACCCCAGGGCTCTGAAGAAGACGCTAAAAAAAAAACAGAGGACCAGTACTCAGATCTGTTTCAGATTCAGCCTGTTACAACTGATGACTTCATTGATTTTGAGCCTGAAAAGAGGGAGAGTAAATCTAAAGTTATTAATCTCTCACAGTATGGTCCAACTTACTTTGGCCGAGAACACGCCAGCGTCCTTTCAAGCCACCTGATGCACTCAAGTCTGCCAGGCCTCACTCGTCTAGAGCAGATGTTCCTTGTAGCTTTGGCAGACACTGTGGCCACAACAAGCACCGAACTAGATGAGAACAGAGATAAGAATTACTCAGGTTAGTAACTGGCATATTATTGAATTAACATTCATGGTCTTCCCAGCTAAGGGAATTTTAGTCTTTGAAGTATTTGGGGATTACAAAGCTGAAATCTAGTATCAGTTATTCAGATTTGATATGGCAAAGAAAGGAATACTTAAATACAAATCTCTATATTTCATGCACAATACTTTGTCTCATACAGCAAATTTAGAAAGATATATTCATTAGATACTGCATACAGTAAGTCATATGCATTCCTTTAAATCATATACATGCCCTGTGTAGTCACTGCCGTATTCAAAAGTCAGTGTTTTATATTTTACAGGAAGAGATACCTTGGATGAATGTGGCTTACGATATTTGTTGGCTATGCGCTTGCACACCTGCCTTCTGACATCACTCCCACCACTATATCGAGTTCAGCTACTTCACCAAGGTAAGTTTTAGAATGAGGTATTACTTTAATTTGACCCAGCTGAGCTGACAGGATAACAGCTATTCTTTGAAGCCCCTTTATTTGCGAAGTGCATGTTCCCCTGCATGCACTGCATGTAGAGAAAATACAGAGCTCTAGAATAGAAGCCAGATTCTGTGCCATTCCATTTGAGCACAATTTCTCCAAACAGATCACATACTGATTGATTATATGTTGCTTTGTTTATGTTGGAGGAATGAAAGTACTGCTTTATGGAAGCATGGTTTTTATCTCCCCTACAAGATAATTTTATCATTTTCATCACAGGTGATTTTTTTTTCCTTTGCTCAATCTGAGTAAGTGAAATACACAACAGGAAAGAAAAGCAGTTACCACCTCAACAGTGTACAGAAAGTTTTCCGGCCCAGAATGAGTCTGCCTCTGAGATAATGTTTTCCTGCTGTTTTACACCATATAAAACTGTAGTATGTATATGATTGGGGTGCTGGAAAAGAATAGAAGCATTGAAGAGAGGACATATACTGGGAGATGTTTTGACTTCACCTTGAACAGCTCTACTTCCTGTCAACAAACATCCCTCTCTACCAACACTCTTTGCAGAGGTTCCATTTTGCATCTCTGATGTATTCCATTTGTTTATTAATGAGTATTAATCTTCTGAATCTTATTATGTTACTGTTTAGGCCTATCTACCTGTCATTTTGCATGGGCTTTTCATTCTGAGGCTGAGGAGGAGCTGATCAACATGATCCCTGCTATCCAGAAGGGAGACCCACAGTGGTCTGAATTAAGAGCTATGGGTATAGGTTGGTGGGTCAGGAATATCAACACGCTCCGAAGATGCATTGAGAAGGTATTCTAGTTGCTTATAAATTATAACTATATGCTGTTAGATGCCTTAACAAAAAAGGTAACTTGTGCAGACTCTCTTGTACTCCAGACCAGCTGGAAGGCTAACTACTTTTTTTTTTACATAGCCCGCTTCCAAATAGCAGTACTGTCAGATCATGTTGGCAGTTCTGGCTTATAAATCAGCAGTATCATGCGATATGTTTGAGCTAGGAAAAAGCCATTTTTGAAGCATTTAATCTTTTCCCCTATATTTTATAGTATGTTTAACATGGCATTACTCTATTTTGTGAAGAGTCATTTCTTTTTAGATATGTGGCAGCACATATCAATAGATTAAACAAGGAATTATATTTTGAGTTCAGATGTGGGTCTTATTTATTTAAGAAATAATTATTTCTAACACAAAGTAGCGTCAGATCTCATTTCATGCAGTTTTTATGGGAGCTCTAATAGTAGATAACATGCAGTATGTGCTTCAATATTATTTTATAATGTTTCCCGTAGGTACCAATGAGATTTAAATTCCTACTTCAATAAAAATTTCAGCTTTCTTACCAAGTTTGATGGATTTGATTTATTACTACTCCTTGCTTTGAATTACAACAAATAATGTAGCCTTTCAGATGTTTGTGGAACAGAAATATCCGGTAGTTTACTGAATTTCTAAGTCATGTGATGTAAAACTAAATTAGTCATCCAAATCTGATGCGATTCCATCTCTTGAGTCCTACACAGAAAAACACCCAGAATGGTCACTAAGGAAATATTTGTATTACCTTGCAAATTTGGAAATAATTGGTCACAAGAAGAACTTCATCCAATACTATGAGCTACTGTAACTTTTGAGAAAAATATTTTTATTTGCACAGCTGTAACATCCTGCTGAGGAAGGGCATTAATATGTGCAGTAGTGCTGCTTTTTCTGAATTACAGGAACATTAACAGTGTAATGAGCTGTTGTCCCCTGTCAATAAATTAATTCTTGCAAGTCATTCAGAAAGAAATTACTGTTGCTTTCTATAAATAATGCAGTCACCCAGAGCATCCTCCCAGCAGAGAACATACGTTCTTAAGCTGAAAGCACGCTTTATATTTTCACTAGTAATAGTAGGTTTTGCTTACTACAGGTTGCAAAAGCTTCATTCCAGAGGAACAATGATGCCTTAGATGCTGCACTTTTTTACCTTGCTATGAAGAAAAAGGCAGTGGTGTGGGGTCTATTTAGGTGAGTTCTGACTATAAGTTTGATTAAATTATATTTGAACCAGGAATGCAAAACAGAACTCATTCAGGATTAGAGTTTAATTGGTGCTGTTCAAGTGACTGTATCCTAAGGCCATGTAATAAAAACTTGTGTACCTTGCATTTCTTTATGCAGGTCTCAGCATGATGAAAAGATGACTGCTTTCTTCAGCCACAACTTCAGTGAAGACAGATGGCGAAAAGCTGCTTTAAAAAATGCTTTTGCTCTGTTGGGAAAACAGCGCTTTGAACAATCAGCTGCATTCTTCTTGCTAGCAGGTTCACTGAAAGATGCAATAGAGGTATTAATTTTTGAGAAATTAAATTTTAGTTTCTAGTCTAAACTATGGAACTGCATCCTTAAAAGCTGATCTTTTTGTAAAGTGTGGAAGCAGAAAGGGTATGTCTACACATGGAACCCTGTAGACATGGCATTTACCTCCACACTACTGTGAAAAAAAAACTTGGAATCTGATCTGAAGACCAGAATGAATGTTCAGATACATGAGTCCTCAGTGGAAGGACTCTTGAGAAAGCAATCATGACCCTGCCGGTGAAGCTTTGTTTTGCTTGTTGTAGCACTCTGTTCAGCTTCTAGCTACTCTGCATTCCCTACTGTTAGAACATCAAGTAAAACACAAAGAATCAAAACAAACAAACAAAGATCTTCTGAAGGATCCTTTTTTAGTGGAGTTGTGGTGTGGAACTGCCAAAAGGAAGGTGAAAGTTCTCAGCAAGGTCATAATTTAAGCAGTATATCTTAGGAGAGAAGGGAATTAGATAACTTTTACTTATCTTGCCTTTTTTATGCAGTTGTGTCTTTACCTGAGAATGTAAAGGCTCAAAAACATTATTCTGCAGATGAGTCAGTGGAAGAAAATCTTACCAGTTATGTACAAATGTTAAAGTTGGAAGCTAGGTTTATTCCACTAGCTAAAACATCCTTATATTTCTATCTGATATATTGTTTTTTGACATGATGTACTGAGGCATACTATAATCGCTACAATAGAAGTACACCTCTTTCCAAACATGGAAGAAAATATGGCACTTATAAATATCTCAACATACTTTTGATTCAAAGATTAACATATACTTTAAAGATCAGATATCATGAGGAAAAAAATGTATTGTGTAAAAAATTATTGTGTAAACATGTTGCTGTTCACTGTCATTTAAAAAAAAAACTTTCCCTCAAAAGAGACCTTTTCCCTTATTATCACAGGTGTGCCTGGAGAAAATGGAAGACATCCAATTGGCTATGGTTATCGCTCGCTTATATGAATCAGAGTTTGAAACCTCTGTCACATACACCTCCATTCTTTATGAAAAGATTTTGGGTTGCCATAAGGATGGAACTGGGTTCAGCTGTACTAAATTGCATTCTGATCCCTTTCTGAGAAGTATTGCTTACTGGATAATGAAAGATTACACTAGAGCACTGGACACTTTATTGGAGCAAACACCAAAAGATGATGATGAAAACCCAGGTAAGGAAAAAAAAGATTGTCTACTGGATCAAACACTCAATGACATAGTAGAGAAGGGGTAAAGTTTTCTGTTTATGTACACAGTCCCTTCTCTTGAGATGTTATGATGCTGAAATTATTAATAGGCTTATGTACTAGCCCACTCAGTTTCTTATGGAAAAAATATTTTTTTCCAGTTTTTTCCACAGGCTTCTTTCCAGTGTCCAGTACTGAGCTTAGTTCTAATAAGCTCAGATAAAGTCTAATAAGTCAGATAAACTCTGGAGGGCCTAATTTCTTCTTACTTTTCCTACAGTACCTCTCTTCTACTTAATGGTAGCTAATTTTTATTCTAATCAACTTCAGACTCGCATTCTTGCTTCTAGGAATCAGCAGTTCTCAAAAGCAGGGCTTCCTATGCAATCTCTTGCTAGATTCACGTTAAATGATGGAGAATTGGATGCGCTGATTTCTGTAGTATGTTCCCTGCACTAGTTAAATCTACCTGGCTGGTCTTCTCAGATTATTTTAAGCTTAGCTGGTGAAACAGTAACAAAGCAGATGTGAGAGCTTCATGTTTCCACTCATCCGGTTTACATCTTTAATGTTTTTGTGGGGAATAAGTAATTCTTTTGCTTTGTTTTGGCAACTAGACTGTCTTTGTTTTTGCATTTTGAATCTTTGTAATGCAGAAAATACTGCAAATCAGAGTAACACGTGAAATCCATTGTCAATAAACGTCTCATCTGTTTAATTCCCTAGTTATTGTCAAGTCATGCAATCCTGTGGTATTCAGTTTTTACAATTATCTTCGGACCCATCCTTTGCTGATCCGAAGATACTTCAGCTCACCAGAAGGGACTTTGGCCACCTTAGGTCTAAAAACTGAGAAAAGTTTTGTTGATAAAATTAATCTTATAGAAAGAAAATTATTCTTCACTACTGCAAATGCTCACTTTAAAGTGGGTTGTCCTGTGCTAGCTCTTGAAGTTCTTTCCAAAATCCCAAAAGTAAGAAAAAAATCTGCTGTAGCTACAGAGAAAGATGCATCTAGTCCTCCAATGCAGGCTGGTGTTTCAGATTCCAAAGCCTTAAGGGATGGTGGTGGAAGCGGTGATATAGACTGGTCAAAGCCAATTTCAGCTTCCTTTGCTTTGGAGGATAGTGCTGAGTCTTCAACACAATTTGATTGGAGTCAACCAGCAGCAAAATTTGATGATGAGCCTCTTACTCTTGATTGGGGTGAAGACAAAAATGAATCAGATGAAGAAGACAAGGATGTCGGTATAATTATGAAAAATTCAAAATCTGCTTCCAAGAGTGAAGAACAAGATGAAACCCCAGACAGTAATGTCCCACAGACACTACATGGAGAGATTTCTGATGTTGGAGACACTGAGGTTGATGTCATTGCTGAACAACTGAAGTTCAGAGCCTGTTTGAAGATCCTAATGACTGAACTGAGGACTTTGGCTACAGGTTATGAAGTAGATGGAGGAAAGCTCAGGTTTCAGCTGTACAACTGGCTTGAAAAAGAGATTGCTGCCATGCATGAAATATGCAACCATGAAGCAGGTGGCAAAGATTACTGTAAAACATACACCAAAGTAAATGGGGATCTACTTGATCATGAGAATGTTATGGATAAGCCAGACATTGGTTCCTATGAACGGCACCAGATAGAAAGGCGTAGGTTACAGGCAAAACGAGAACACGCTGAAAGACGAAAGTGGTGGCTGCAGAAGAACCAAGCTCTTCTACGAGTATTTCTAAGTTATTGTAGTCTCCATGGGGCACAAGGAGGTGGTTTAGCATCTGTAAGAATGGAGCTGAAATTTTTGCTGCAAGAGTCACAGCAGGTAAAACAAATTCAGCTGATTTGTATTTACGAGTCTGAACAGTTCTAGTCTGTCAATTTTATCAAATGCTTAAATTTGTACCTTAAGCTAAGCAATTCTAATGTTCTTCAGGCAAGAACTTACTATTCTAGCTTTCTGTGCATCCGCATCCTGGCTATTTGGTTCTTCAGAATCTGCCGGAGGATTAGGCTACCTGTAGTTATATAAATACTGCTCTATGTACTACAGACTTAAATGTATATTGAAATTATAGTTTTGATCACTATATTTTGGGTATCCATATAACAAGTTAAATAAGTATTAAGTATGATAAAATCTCTTTCCCTACATCACTGCATGTCATGCAAGGAGCTGTAAGGAATAGAGTCTTAGTCAGCATACTGCTCCCTTTTCTGTATTATGGCATTTTCTACAGTAAATGTAAGTGACTAATCAGAGCAAATGCTCTGACTTGGAATAAATCATGGAAGTGGCTCCAGTCCCAGAACTTACTTTTAACATCCATCCTTGTGAAATCTTGTTTGTACTGAGTAGACAGCAGTAGAAGAGAATAAATAATCCTGGAAAAAAAAAGAAAAAAAAAAGTAAATTACTGTTTTATTATTATTTTTTTCTCAAAGTAATCATCTTAAGTGCAATCTTTTCTTTTAAACAGGAAACTACTGTAAAACAGCTTCAGTCTCCACTTCCATTGCCCACAACACTACCATTGCTATCTGCAAGCATAGCATCCACAAAAACTGTGATAGCTAATCCTGTGCTGTATTTAAACAACCATATCCATGATATTCTTTACACAATTGTGCAGATGAAATCACCACCACATCCTAATATTGAAGATGTCAAGGTAATGAAATCAGGTTGTAAGAAATGCTGACTGTTTACAAAATGGTGAGAATACACTAAAATTGTGTTTAATTTTCAACTCTTACTCCTCACAATATTGACCTTCTTTCTAAAATCTAGAGAATTGAAAATGGTAGTCAACCAACCACTTGATTTCTGACACCTTTTGGAATCTCCTCAGTTCCCTTTCATCCAAATAATTCAGTCATTCTTGAGAAGCTGTTCTAAATTCAGATGTTCACTAAAGCACTGAATTGTTACTCTTACATCACGATCATATATGTTAACTATCATCATCTTGGTCAAATCTGGCGGGAAGATTAATGAAAGTAGAGGTGGAAGCTATGAGGTACGTTGTAACCTTCTGTTTATACCGTAGTTATAAATCTTAGTCCAGCGTGGATTGTACTGATTTCCATGTAGTTGTGATTAATTACTTTATCTGGCCCCATATCCTAGAGTAAATAAATTCTGTTCATAAAATAGAGGGGATTGGGGAAACATATTTCCTGAGACTATACAACAGTTAATTAGTAAAAATCTAGATCATTGGTTTGTACATTTTTATCAGTATTCACATTCATTAAATTTCACTTAAATTTCTATTGAGTAAATGAAAGTAGGTGAAAGCTATAAACTAAGTGGACCGTCCCATTGGTAGTTAGTTACCAATTTGTAAACTGCAACCCACGCTCATTTACTTCTTTACATTAGTTGACTCCTTTTCCATCCTGCACTATGCCACATTAAGTATCGTTCTTATTCTAAAAACTCTTATTCCACACGCATTTTCCTTTAAAAGGAAAGTCAGAAAGAACTGACACTTCCTAACTGTAATCAACTATTTAGATAACTTGTATCTTTAACCTGAGGTATGGCATCTCATTAAATAGAGGAAGTAGGAAGAGATGGAAATGAGCAGAATGTTAAAAAGCATTCATGTTTTTTAGCAGTTGGCAGTACCATTTTCAACACAGTTTGGCTTCCATCAGTCTTTCCAAGAAATCCTTGCATTTCTTCTTCTAGGAAATGGAGTGTTTCTGCTGCATTGTAAGCTCATAATAGTAATATTCTTGTTACTAGGAGAGTCCTGAAAAATTTTAAGCACGTAAATGAGGTGAAAAAGCTATTATAAATAATTAAATGATGATTACACAAACTTCTGTATCATGCATATAAAGCAAATACTACTATAATGAGTTATGATGTTATATTATATTGTTTCCAGGAACCAATCAGACTATAGAAATCACTGTTAGAACAGGACTTAATCACTTCTTCAGTATACTCACCCTGTGAGAGGTCTGTATTAGAGTAATTTTTTAATTGCTATTTCCTGACTGTAGTTTAAAACTGGGACATTCTGGCATAACACATTTCAAAAACTATTTAGAAAGAAGTGTGGTTTACATACCTTTGTGTATAAATTACATATAACTTACCAGCTCTTTTCATTTTAGGTGTACACTCTTCATTCTTTAGCAGCTTCCCTTTCTGCATCCATTTATCAAGCACTGTGTGACAGCCACAGCTACAGGTACAAATAGAATTTCTTTCTTACAGTCCTACATTTGAAGAATATTTAGTGCATCCAAAATGGAAATTCTTTCTGCCTGTGTCTAAGCAAAGAGATTCAACTGCTATGTATGTATAGATAACTATGCAACCCACACATTAGTTCTGATAGTTCCTGCCAGTTTCACACAGATAAAATAATAACAATCTTTTTTTTCCAATGAAAGGAGGAAAATCTGGTATCAATCTTAGGATGCTTCGAAAAGAACGTCTGAGTGCTGTTTTCCACAGTATATCCATTGCTGGGTGGGACTGCATGGAAAATATTTGAGGTTAAATGAAGTCAGGTTTTGGACAGTTCTTGTTTCAAACCAAAATTGGCTGTAAAAATATAACAAGTTTTAATTTAAAAAGTATATACTATGATATGAAATTGTAGTCTTGTAGAACTTTAAATATTGCATTTTCTGATTAAAAAGAGAAGCATTTCTATATACTGTATTTATTGCAAAAATGTTCTGAAATCCTTTCTCATCAGAAAAAAATTTATTTGTATTTAGCAGCCAAACAGAAGCAAATCAGTTTACAGGAATGGTTTATCAAGGACTGCTTTTGAGTGATCGTCGCAGACTGAGGACAGAGAGTATTGAAGAGCATGCAACTCCAAACTCATCTCCTGCTCAGTGGCCTGGTGAGACAAAAATAAATTACTTTTAACATGTCTGGAAAAGCTCCACTTCAAATTTTTTTTCACTGCTCTGTAACTTCATAACTTACAGTACAACTTGATGGCAATTTTTCATGCGAATATAGAGAAATGATGGGAGAACAACGATGGATAAGTGTTTTAAATTTAGCTTTCACATGTGACAGCCGTTAGCTTCCTCACAGATCAAAACAAAAATCGAAACTTTTCATATGGCAAATGTCTTACTTGAGGAAGAGATCAGAATCTTCAGGATAAATTCTATAAGCTGATTATTTGTCATCCTAACATGTTTTTTTCTGGTCTGTGTCACCCTCAAGCATAGCAGTTTCTGTCAGTTGCAGCTACAGTACTGTCTTACATATTTGCTTTTCCCGCTGTAGCCATCAAAACAACTGCTTTTCACATACTAGCAGAGAGGTAATATTGTGAGGTCAACTCTGGCCAACAGTGCAGGAGTTTCAGAGGCAAAGCAATCTGAGGCACAATTCAGAAATCTTTTTGTTCAGTCTAAGAAAAAATCATAATTGTTGATATATCAGAACAAAAGTTTCAAATGGCTATTAGTATGTGTGCACCAAAAGAGACAGAGATGCAACACAGAATTCTTCCTTGTTTGTAATTAACAAAGAGCTTTTCCTCTCCTCTCTGCAGGTGTGAGTTCACTGATAAATCTCTTAAGTTCAGCTCAGGATGAAGACCAACCAAAGTTAAACGTCCTTCTTTGCGAAGCTGTTGTAGCTGTTTACCTGAGCCTGCTGATCCATGCCCTGGCAACCAACTCATGTAACGAGTTGTTCCGACTGGCAGCTCATCCTCTGAACAGCCGGATGTGGGCTGCTGTTTTTGGCGGAGGAGTGAAACTTCTTGTAAAGCCTCGAAGGCAATCAGAAAATATTCCAGGTATTTTGCTTTCTAAAGGTCATACTAACGATCTGCATTTTAGACCTTTTAGTAACCCAGTAGGGGAGATTTCTTTTCTTTAAAGATTAGAAAAAACAAGGAAACACAATTTAAGTATCAACTGGCAAGAAAATTGTAACATTAATTAAAAAGCAGAAAGAAATTCACTTTTTTTTATCATGACTGTCCTTTATGATAACACCTAGCATGATTTGAATTTTCCATTGAAACAGTACAGGCATTTTTACTCAAAATGTAGCCCTTTAATCTGACAATTACAGCTTAACTGCTTTTTTTGATCGCTGCATTTATTTTAATTCGGGACTTGAAGACTTCTGTCTGAGTAATTGTTAGATTAAAGAATACAGATTTCATCTTCTTTGTGACGAGGCTGTTGTTTCCCCCCCAAAAAAATAAAACAGAAACAAGAATGTTGCTGTGGTAGAGGATTTTTTGTTTGTTTTGTTTTGTTTTCTTTAGTATCCACTTAGAATACAGATAGAATGACCTCTGCATTTAATTATTGTTACACTCAAAATAGTTTACTTGGACTGTATGTGTTTGTGTATCTTCCCAAATGCAAGCCTTTTCCTTTCCATCTTTGTAAAACAATAATGAATAATTTGTCAGTCAGAGGTAAAACAAAGTGCTTTAAACAGCAAGATATCAAGCATAATATCATTAACAAATAGCCATCACATTGACTAACTGTCAAATAGTGATGGAATCAGTGCTGTGATGCAGAACTTATACCCCAGAAGCATGATAAGCAACTTGCATGTGGAATGCTATGGGTATTTCCCAGCATAAACATTTCAGAATTACTAGTATACACCATTACTTTTCCTAATACACATCCCAACAGTACTTAGAATGGTACTGCCAGTGCTCTGGTCACTCAAACTCACATTTGGTATTAAGCTAGGCAAATAAAATAAGTTTATAATAACACAATTTTAATTCAGACATTCTGAGTCAGAAATCATCCTCAGGATAGCATATTTCCTTACCTTACTCCTATTAGATGCTTGTTTATAACACTTTCCATTGTTTTCAACCATTATTTCTTGTGTGAAAAAGCAGATAGTACAAATCAGTGTTAATACCTATGTTTTCCTGTATGTGACGGGTGGTGCTGTATAACGGTTACAGTAATTTGGAAGCAGTATTTCTGAAACTGTTTCTACTGCAAGATACAATTTCACCATGTGCAAGAAGTAACAGCTTCATCTGACAGAAAAATAGTTCGTACACAGCTAAGCTCCAACTAAAAGCAGGGATCTTTCAGACAGATGAGATTGTCTTACTATGCTGAGAAGTGAAGGCTGAATCCAGGCTCAGTAGATAGGTGTAAATGAAACCGTTTGCCCAATAATTTCACTGTAACAATCCTGAAAATTCTGACACATTGGCTTTAAAAACTACAGGTTTGAAAATTCTTATGCAGAAAATTGATATTTCATATATAAAATACAAAGCAAAACAGTACTAAGGTGGTATAATGTAAACACTGCTTCTAATCTTCTAGTCACAATCATTGCTGTCATTGCTGATGTTATCATCGTGTCACCATTGGTCAGTTAACATTCTGAAACAGACCATCACATGAATGCATTACGTATTTCTCTTTTATGGAGTAACTTAAGGACATGTGAGAATAATCATTTTAGGAGTGATCAGTGATTTAACAGGGTATTATTATGAACAGCTTACATATATAAGCCTTGTTTTCATCGGAGATATATTCTGTTTTCCTTATCCTACAAGCTGCTACAGTTTCTGATGTTTCAGAGGATGGTAATGAAGGTGTGTAAAAGTTTGCTGTGTAGATGAATGGTAGTAGTGGCTTCTAAAAAAAACAAACTGATTTTAAGTATTTAGGTCCTGTGTAACAAAGTAAGTGTAATCTTCAGCGCTGCCTGCCAATAACACCTTGGAGAACAAATTTCACAGTTATATTCTGATAACTATTAAGATCCTTTGAATCTTAATAGATTTGTCAAAAAGACTTGCCCTATTCAAATTTTCTTTACTATCTTACTATCTGGCTTGTATTTTGAACAACTGCTGCTACTTGTGCTATTTACAGATCAGTGAAATTTTCTATACCTACTTCTTAACAAGTTAACAATTTTTTTCTTAATTTGAGAAAAAAATATCTAAAATGCCCTTTAATTCAAAGCCATGTCTCCTGGAAAACTCAACCCAGATAACGAAATGAATTTCTCATTACATACACAACGTGTAACTGCCACAGCTACTGAATTTAACCGAACCTTCTGTATGATTACACTTCACTTACACAGGCTGGCTTTGATCCCTGAGTTGGTAGAAGTTAGTACTGGTAATAGTGCTTTTAGCTACTTCAGTTATAAAATATAGCCACTTTGGAAGATGCTGTGTTAATATCAGCTTCTCAAATTATCTGAATTTAGCACCACCTCTTCCTTCAGAAGAAATGGACAAACATCGTCGCCGTTTTAACATGAGAATGCTGGTGCCTGGAAGGCCTGTGAAAGACACCACTGTGCCACCGCCGGTACCTGCAGAGAGACCCTCTTACAAAGAAAAGTTTATCCCTCCAGAACTCAGCATGTGGGACTACTTTATGGCAAAGGTAATTTAGAGTGGAAAATACGTCGGGGTTTGTAAAAAGCTTATTCTCATTTAAGCTGTAAAGGGCAAAAATAGCGTGGAAATTCTGAGTGCTCTTCAAACTGAGCTGCAGAATATTATCATCTCAATAAAAGGTAAAGAGCTCTATGACTTGTCTTAGGGCTATTTCCTAATTTTAAAAATATGGTTCTTGCAAATAATACAGATTAATACTTTTCTCCTTGATACTTGTTTCTTTTAGAGAACCTTATTTATGTTAAGTTGTTATCATAGACAAAGAGTATAAATTACAAGTAAAGTTAAAGGTATGTGCATTAAGAGATCTGAAAACTATTTTTATAGCAGACTTTTATTTTGCATTGCAGCCATTTCTTCCTCTGTCAGACAGTGGTGTTATATATGATTCTGATGAAAGCATTCACAGTGATGAGGAAGAGGATGATGCTTTTCTCTCTGACATACAGATCCAGGAACACAAAGATGCAAATTCTTACAGGTTAGAAGAAATTGCCATTCTTTTAGAATTACAATATCATGCTTACCTTTTCTTCAGGTTTAAAGAAAATACAGGTGCTCTGAACAGTCCACAGTTTAGGTTGCGTATTTGTAGTTCAGTGGACGGGGGCACATCTGTAGCAGTGAGATCACAGGCACAACAAATTTTGTTTGCAGTAACAAACATTTCCCTATTTACTTGCCTGGAAAAAAAATGGGATTAGGAAGTCAAAGCTGTCTGGCTTTTGTGGGTGGGTGGGGAACAAACAAGAAGTACTCTACTATCACCTTCAAGACACAAAAACCATGACCTACCACAGTGCCAGCTCTAGAATGATGTTTCAGAGATCTCAGTGAAGTATGATCCTTAGGTTTCTGAATGAGATGCAAATTAAATGGACTGCTTACAGAGAAAATGTTGCAAGAAAAAAGGGAATTAAGCAAATTAACTTAGCATTATAAAAGTAGAGGAAAAAAATGATAGGTTTTTTTTTTTGTGTGTGTTCCACCCTTCGTCTCTCTCTTAATCCTTATACTCTACAATATTTATATTTTCACTATCTATGAGAGTCAGCTGGGAAACTTCTGGTGTGAATACCAAACTCAAGTTTTCTGTGATCACTATGATTTCATTGTAGAGCTTGTGAATGTGTTTCAGGGAGCTTGGACTTAATTAGCAATCTTGCAGAGTTCCACTCTTGCACCTGATGCATATTTTTAGAGGAAGAGTTACTTGCTGTTACAGGGGGAAGCCCTCAGAGATGGCCTTAATTCTGATAGTTGATGTGTACGTATCTTGCCATGTGTGTCTGTTAAACTCAAAAAATTCAGTGACCTCCCTGAGTTGTTTTTCTGATCTGCATAGTTGGTAGAAGGAGAGAAAACTGTTTTGCCAATAACCATATTACTGTTGCTTTAACACAACTATTATTTTTATATAGCTGGGCTCTTCTGCATCTGACAATGGTAAAATTAGTTCTGCACAACGTTAAGAACTTCTTTCCCATTGCTGGTCTGGAATTTAATGGTAAGTTAAATTCTACTTCACGTTTTAGTTCTCTGTGTAAGTGGCTTTCTGTCAGACTTCGCTTTTAAATATATTGTTTAATTTTTATTTTAAAATTTACATAACTTAAACATTCTTAAACAGTTGTTAAGAAATGTGTTTCTGCTAAACTTTTTGTTGAACGGTTGTATTGCTCTACTTTTTTGTACACACCGTAACTTATATGACCTTTTTTCTCTAAGCCTTTATTAATATTTCTGTTTAGATCTGCCTGTAACATCACCATTAGGCATTGCTGTAATAAAAAATCTGGAACACTGGGAACAGATTCTTCAAGATAGAATGGACCAGTTTGAAGGCCCACCACCAAACTACATCAATACCTATCCTAGTGATCCTGGAGTAGGTGCAGGACCAGCTATTCTCCGCAATAAAGCAATGATTGAACCTGAAAACACACCATTCAAGTAAGTTTTTTTTCCTATTCCTTAACCACAGAAATACTGAAGAGTATTTCTATCTAAACGTAAACAGCCAAATGAAGTTTAGCTAAAGCTTAGTTATAGCCAGTGCTTTACAGAATCCATTTTCCTCACATCTATTTATTACTTCTTTTGTTGCTGTTTCTTGCAGCTGCCTTTACTTATTTTGCTGCACCTTTCACAGCTGTAGAAAGAAAAGTAAGGTGGAAAGAGCAAAGTTTGGAGACTACAGATCAAGGGCAATGGCTCCTGCTAGAAAGTCCCTATTGAACCACCTTTTCTGTTCTTTCAGTAGCAGCTACTTCCCACCCTGTCCTCACAAACAGAGGAAAGCTTGTGTCATACATAAAGACATCAGGAGGGAGAAAGAGTTGTAGTAGCAGTCCTTATAAAGTCAATCCTCCTGTGTTAGGCATATGTCATGTTTGCAAGTATCTTTAAATGCAGTCCTTGAAGAATTTTATTCATCTCAAAAGTAGTTTACTTTTCTAGAAATACTAAAATACAACTTCAATCACTTAAGCTATATGTTAATTTGAATTTGCATCATTGGCACTATAAGATTTTATTAAGATATTCTTACAAATACAAGAAAAAGAATGTATCTCTTGAAATTCACCTTGAAGATCTTAGAACATTAGACTTAGATGGTTTTCTTCCAAATTGAAATTTAACCTAAAGTAGATGTGAGGAGGGACAGGAGTTATTTACCTGTAATTAAACAGAAGCTGTTTCCTTTTTATTTCTCCTTCTGCATCACCCAGATCAAAGGATTATTCAGCTCTTCCAGCAAAAAGGCTCTGGCATTTTCTCGTGAAGCAAGAACTTCTTCAGGAGACTTTCATAAGATACATATTCACAAAGAAAAGAAAGCAAAGTGAGGTAAGCAAAAAATCACCTTTTCTTTGTTGTTTTTTAAGAAATCTCAATTATAACCAAACCTCAGTCTCTTCAGTATGTATTTTAATTTTGCTTTGAAATGCCTTTCTGGTGGCATTTCAGTCTGTTTCCTTTCATTTGGCAGTGCTGTGTTTTCAGTGTTTTTTTTTCAAATCAACGTGACAATCATGCTGCTTATTGAAATATCAACTGGAGCAAATATTTTAGACGAGACATATTTCACCTTAGCTTTATGTATTTGAGAAGTGTTCTAATAAATAATTAGAACATTTGCAATAAATGCAGTAAGTAAATAAACTTGTTTTCATGTATTTCTTGTTGTCATATTGAAAAAGAAATTCAAGTGAGCTATTACTTTGTGTATATGTATATATGCATGAGTAATATATACATATAAAAATAATATTATATAGTAATATATAATATGGGATTTTATGAATTGTACCAGTTACAACTGTAATGAGTTGTAATTGTAGTTTTTAACCAAAATAAATACCATAGGAAATAAATATATTATTTAATATCTTTAAGATTTCCTGTAAGTATGGAGTTTGTGTGTGTATTACTCCTCCATTTATTTACTATATCATACATTTTGTGTTCATGTGGGAGGCATTACATTTTGAGTGAGTTTGTTTAGATTCCTGTCGTAGTTCCTGTGCCTTTTATAAAAAGTTAAAAATACATTTGTCATCATTTACTGACAGAGTGGCCTTTAAAATCTAGTTTGGAATGTTTCATTCTTTTTTTATATTTGTTTGTGCATGTGTTTTGTGTTTGTGACTGTGTGATGTTATGTAGTCTGTAGAAGATCGTGTGGAGCAGGTCAAACAAAACTGCGTAGCAGAAGATCACAAAAACAAGGTAGTATCCCTTCTCCCAAACCTCTGGCACATTCTTAAAAGTTCTGTGGAACTGGCTTTTCTTTCTCTAACGTGACTAACAGAAGCTATGTGTTCTGTGTAGTCTGTGTGGCAGGCTTTTAATCGGTGAATTAACTTTGGATGTCCTTTAATTGGGATGAGTGAGCACTTTGTAAATAGTGTTGTACACACAACTTTGTGTTTCTTACACTCAAACACGTCTGGCTCCTAGAACACAAAACAGTCTGAGAAGTCTAAAGTTTAGCTTCCTAAACGATGCTGAGGCCACTGAACTTTTCTTGCATGAATTTTGTATAGACTTTTGCACTTTGAATGTACAACTACAAAATGGATTTTCAGGCTAATTAAAGTTTCTCATAAATGTTTTGTAGGTTGAAGCAGATCTTGGCTACCCTGGAGGAAAAGCAAAAGTAATTCACAAAGAATCAGATATGATAATGGCATTTGCAGTTAATAAGGTAGGCCTCAAATTTTACTAGTAAACGTAGTAGAATAATCTAAACTGAAATTAGTTTAAATTTTCTATTTGTGCTGCACAGGCAAACAGCAATGAAATTGTTTTGGCATCTACACATGATGTTCAAGAACTTGATATTTCAGCTCTACTGGCTGCTCAGTCATTTATATGGATTGGGGAAGAATATGACAGAGAGTCAAAAAGGTAGGATTATCTCTCCGTGGATATAGTGGGCAGACAGGTTGACTGTGAGGCTGTATGTGGAATTCCAGTGCACAAAATGTTAATTGCATAATCTTTGGTAGGTTTTAGAACACTTTCAAAAAGAGTAGTGGTGGAAGAAAGCAAAGGAACATTAGTATGTTTTACAAGTGGTAAAACTAAGTTTTTGAGGGATTTGAGTATTTGGGGCATGTCTACACTGCTCAATGAAATACAGTCTCATGGTGTATAAGCTAATAAAAGAAGCTGTATATCAGAAACACTTGTAGTTGCAAAACTGCTTTGTTGAGCCTACTTCTGGTACCTGATGCTAGCTGTCCAGCGCAGTGGCCTCATCTCCTCCGTTATCATGCTGAGAGCAAGCACTTCCCTGCACTACATTCCATTGCACAAAACAGGCACGGTTACAGATGCACAGGCCAGGAACACTAGATGCTGTCATATCTTTCTGTCATATTTTTAACAGCATATTCTCCTCAAGGGAGCTCATATTCTCAACAACTTAGAATCACATGTTGAGGTTAAACACTGATGTCTGTGTGGCATAGGGGAGATTTTGTGTATAATACAAGTGAAGAAGTTATACATTTATAGTCTTCACTGTATTCACTTTCTCTGTCCACTGCCACTGGGCTCTTAACAGCAATGAGATAAGTGAACAGCACTGGTGGCAAAGAAACATTTGTTTAAAGCAGAACACTGCTCTTTTCTTACAGTTCTGATGATATTGACTTTCGTGGTTCTACTACAACACTAACTCAGTCAACTGCACCATCTTTTGGAGTGAGTCAGATACAACCATCTTCATCTATGCCATGGCTGGGCACTGGTCAAACTAGCACTGGAGCTGGTGTGGTAAGTACTTTTGTTGCATGCAGCCCTGTAGACTTACTGTAGTCTTTGCTGTGTCATTCAGTACACAAGTTATTGTAGTGTTAATTCAGTGTTAAAATAAAAGGCCTAAAGTGACCAAGACCTGGCCAAAAAGAAGATCACACTGCATATCTTCTTTAAGATTATAGCACAGTGTTATTGTGACTTAAAAAATAATAAGCCAAACAAGATTTTATGAGGGAGTTGTGAAGTAGGACCTGCAATTTCTCAAAAAATAAAATGTAATTTTTTAAACTACTCTTGCATTGGGACTAATATAAAAAGCATTACATCAGCCATCTGTATAATGGAAGATAATACGATCCGAAATTTTGTGACTGAATAGACTATCAAAAACAGGCTTTAATTACTGTACTAAAACTAGACATAATTAGATAGAAATAATGCTAGTTTGCAGGCATTTTAATTATGGAGGACATTTACCATATAGCAGAATAAAGAAAAATTGAATAGTGTGTTTATCTCTTCTTGATTTTTTTTCAATTTTTTTTTTTTTTTACAAAGCTTATTAAAAGAAATCTGAATAATGTCAAGAGAATGGCTTCACATCCAGTCCATCAGTATTGTAAGTGAATCACATTTGCCAGTATGAAGCAGACATTTTTCTATACCATTCTGTAGTACTAATGAATGCCTATTTCTTAATCCAGATCTTACAGGAGCACAAGATGGGAGCGTTCGAATGTTTGAGTGGACAAGGCCACAGCAATTGGTCTGCTTTCAGCAGGCTGGGAACGCCAGGGTTACAAGAATGTATTTCAATTCCCAGGGCAATAAGGTAAGTACAATATCTGCAATTTTTTATGGAACACATTTGATCATGCTGTGACCTCTAGAACAGTTCTATCTGGTGATATAGAAAACTCCTGTTAACGTATCCTAGAATAACCATAACCAGTACCATTTCATTTTTACTGCATATGAAAGCTCTGTAACAAACAGTGATTTTTATTCTCCTTTGTTTCCTGTCAGCTTCACACAGATTCCTCTCAGATTACATTAATACAAAGCAAGATTTTCAGTAATCTATCTGCAGTGTCTTTACACTTCAACAGTAAAATCTATTGCAGGAAAAATGCCCTGATTTATATCAGCTTGACTGTCTTCTCTTCCAGATTCCTTCCCTATAGAACTGTTTATTCT